ATACACACATCTAGGCACCTATGACAACCTGTAGACAGCCTTGCCTCAGCCACAATCACGAATGAGCACACATGCATGCCCACAAGAGACACGAATCAGAACGCACAAGCACCCATGTGCAAGAAGGGATAGGAGAGAGCGGTAACCGATACCGTGAGCCGTCGTCGCAAACCCCTGACAGAATACGACTCAGTGATGATCACTTTCTCTGGCAGAACTTTCAAGACTGGGCTGCTGACGGGAAAGCGAATCACCCGGTGTCCCCAAGCCCAGCCGCACAGACGAGCAGCCCATACACGTTGGCGGGGTGTTGGTGTTCAGTCCTCTTTCTGCCAACTGGCTATGCAGCCAACTGCATGTTTTTCTGCAAATAATTTCATTCATGCAAATATCCTGCCTTAAAAGCAGGCAACAGGCCTCTGCTTCAGACAGGGTTTGAAAGTATGCGAAGTGTGTCCAGGTAAAGAATTTAAAAGGTGAAGAGGAATGGTGAAACTTGTGCATAAATATGTCATTCCTTGCATATATTTATAAAATTTCATGTGCACGCCCCCATAACCGAGCTCATGTATAGGTCTGCGAAGGCCTAGGTTTACTCAGTGCAGGTGGAGAGATTTTCGGGGTTCTCATTCGAAAATCAGCATCAAGAAAGCATAAAGCAGCTTCATCTGCTGTGGCACATCTCCACACGTGTCTCAATCCATACGGATGCAATAATTCCCTGTCGGCATGCCAGATTCGGTATCATTACTAATCCCACCACAATTAGCCAGCCTCAAATCTTGCACACAGTCGTTAGTTTCACTACTTATTCAGACCAATAGTTTAGAAAAAAACGTGGAAAGGGAGCAAAATACTCATCTATTCTGCCTTCAAAGTGGATGTTTCTTTGCATATTCTCAAAGAAATTGCCTCATCCTAAACTGCATAAATCTAAGAGATATGATTATGAAGTATGCAAAGATCAGTGAGACGTACTAGTGATGCTGCCTACGAGGCCGGCGAAACGTCTGGTTCACGGCCCAATGGTGGGAATTATGGCAACTATTATGGCAGACAACATGACCAAGTTACCAAAACGAAGTCACCCATTTCTATGCATCTAAAGGAGATTAGAGGTCACAAAATCTTGGTCTCTATACCTACATGTATGTGTGAAGATTTGTTAAACCTAGTCCAAATTAAGTATGAATCATCTACGAGACACTTCTGTTTAATGGACTCATGTGCTGACGATTGTGTGAGCTTTTTATTTCATCATTCATTGAAGCCAGATATAAATAATGTTACAATCCACATTCATATCTGATGTATGAGAAATGGATCAAATAGTAGATGTAATCTGAATTATGTCATAGTTGAACGATTTAAACAGCGAAAAAATGGTGAATCTTGCTTCTTGATATTAAAGAGTAGTTTTTTTTCATCACTATTAAAGAAGGTGAATAGGAAAAAATGGCTTACTATGCCTCCTCTCAACTATTTCAGAGCAGAAATGCAACATTATCAGTCAAAAAAACTTTACCTGCTTGCAAACATACCGGCAGTGCTTTGCTCATATCTGATCAAGACTTTTTGTGCTTACCAGGCCCACTTGTCTAGAAGGTGCCGTGAAACTGATAATAATATGCTGCATTTACTTGCCGAGGCCGAATTTCATCATTCACCTGAACAAATAACATTAATTATATATTCAGATACTCCTGCATGAAATCCTCTACAGCCTGCAATAATTAAGCATCTACTAAAAATATCCATGAGCTGTATTCAGCAAATTTCGTTTAAGCTAATGAAGCTAATTTTCCCATATTTTTATGAGAAGACCGTACGTTTTCATTGAATTTCCCATATCTTTGCTTTCCCATACAGTGTTCTCATCCAGGTTGGACCGCAGTTTTGACCTCGCCTAGGTCTTATCAACGCCCTTAGTGGGACTCGAACCATGACAGTGCAGCGTATAATCTCGACACCCTAACCACTGCTCCACATTTCCACAAATGTCCTTTGTGGATTTCAAAGAAGCCAGGCATTTTCCAATATCACATTCTGTGGTGCGGTTGCCGATGAAACAAACTTACATTTGCTATGGCAATTGACAATATTACTTATTTTCCGTTTTGAGTATGTCTTCTAGACTACCAGTAAATCAGAAATATGAGCTGTGTTTTCCCTCTATTTCGTTTAAGGTTATGAAGGACTGGCGTAGTGGTTAACATGACGAGAGTATACGCTGCACTTTCATGGCTCGAGTCCCGAAAACCTACTCGAAATGAAAAATTAAGATATCTAGTTTCAGTCTTGGTAAATGGTTTCGCTCTGCTGTGAAGACCTAGAAAAAAGAGTAAACAACATTATTGAGGATTACTAAAACGTTACAAACTGTACGCTTTTACTGAAAGTGTTAGAGCCCAATCTGTTCTGGTCATTTGACTCTGGAACTAGATAATGACAACTCACTGGACTCCTTAACATTTTGGTCCTGAATCATGTCCTTCTACAAACACCGACTATTCCTAATCCACTAGCTCATCTCGAGGTGTTATGATGTCTGGGTATTTCATAAACTCTTCTGAAAAGTGATAAATTTTGGAGCACCATTCATATAAATTTTCCAAACAGTCTAAAATGGCTCCTTTCAAATCGGATCTTGAGCATTGGATCTTGAATTGAAAAGCCGCTAATAGATCTGAGTAAACCCAATTTTTCCACCGGTATTGCCATATCGCTTTGTGCATCATCATTTTGGAGTATTTGTTGCAACATTTCGGAATAGCCAGCGAGGAATAGCGATTTGTTGGCCAATTATGCCGCAATTGCATCCCCATAATCAGACGTCCGAAGGGATTTTATTACAAAGGGAAATGTTGAAACGAGAAAATGAGAAAGTAAAATTGCATCCTAAAGAGTATCTGCAAGACATTCGTTTTGCTTTCTGCTCATAAGGAGAGTTACGAGACACCCAAAGTCTTTCAAGGTGCTTAAGGATTGATAGTTGAATTTTGCCATAATGTTAGCTAATACGGCTTTGCTTCATCGACAATCCCACCACATAATGCTGAAATTGGAAAGGCCTAGGTTTCTTTGAAATTCCCTTCTGCCCTGTAACCCAAAAGCCTTTTTGACAGGGTTACTTAATGTCTAATGTGTCTGGAGAATATACCGCACTACCACGACCCGGGTTCGATTCCCGCCGGGGGTGCTGATGAGCAGTCGAAGTCAGGTCGAAACGGCAGTCCCCTCCTCCCCAGATGAGATACCCTTTAGGGAGCAATGGTATATGAACTTCAATTGATTGTGGAGAAATTCAATTGCCAGTCATTCATAATCTAAAATTGAATAAGGCGAATACATTTATTATATTTGTTTAAAAGTGGGTTGATCTCGTTATCGCAACTTGGTCTTGTGATCAGGGCGACTATGTAGAACGCACCTAGTCCGAAGTCGTCTGCCATAGTAGTTGT